GTTGCTCAGGGGTTCAGATTTTCCAAACCACTTAGTGACATAGTTATTTTGACATAAGTTGGTAGTGTAGACCATGCCTTGGAAAGCTTCATAAATAAATGCATTGGGCTTGATTCTCCTCACATTTACACTTGTTTTAAACCACTGTAACTGACTCATTACTCTTGCTTTATACTGGTGTAAGTGAGGCAAAGCAGGCCCATTATATTCAGTGCTGGGCAAAACTTTCATAAAACTTCAAACAGGATCTTGTTGCAGGAGTGGTGTGGAATCCTCTTCCATGTCTTCAGCAGTCTTCCATCTCCACTGAACACTATAAAGAGGGTTAAGATAGGTTAGGCAATACCTTTTTATTGGACCAACTAGGGTTGTACTTTTGGAAAGGAGCAGGGTGCAAATTTTTCTTTCCCCTACAGGATCCTTCTTTAGGGGAGCCTAAAATAATCTTTCCTTCCTCTATCCTTACACACGTGTTGTCAACTGGGCAGAAGAGCTGATTGCTGTGTCTTGTTTCCAGCTCTCTTCCCCCCCCTCCCTCTACCAGTACTGGCTGGGAAGCTGGCTGCTATGTTGTCTGTCCCCATTATAGGTCTCTGATGACAATAAGGATGCTCAATGCAGACTGCTCTCCTTTAATGGGTGCTATTGTCCTGCTGTTCCTGATAATACCAGGCCAACCCACCAATCTGGCTGGATGCAGTATATTACAACGATCTGTCACCCACTAACAACACCTCTTTTTGTTCTATGACTCTGCAGTCATAGGTGTTAACAGGCCACTCCACCTTGAATGGTCCCTTAGAGTACCTGCTAACTACTTATGCTAAAGAGTCTGTTCCTTTGTTGCACTTTGCTGTGATGCTGGGAGTACCTGAGCTCTGTGTGGCTCTTTCACCAGTAGAAATTGGTCCCATAAAAGATATTACCTCCCCCATCCGTCTGGCACATCATTGGCTAGACATCAAAGCACAGGCTGGGCACGCAGTCAGGGGCCTGAATCTGGCTGGCCATGACTTGATCAATGAGCTTGAGGAAGTCGCTCTGACTTCACCCGTCTCCGCTTCCCAGCGTGTGGTGCAGACGGTCACTGCCGCCTTTGTGACGGGCTTTGCAATCGGTCCAGGTCTAGTGTCTGGACTGCTCCTCTTCCGCATGTTTGCTCAGCTCCCTGGCTCCCCCGCATCGGCGTGCACTGAAGTCCACGGGTCTGAGTCAGGGGGGGAAAACGAAGCGGAGAGGGCGCTGGGGAATGGGAGCCGCGGGCTAGGCTTGGCTGAGACAATAGCGCCACCTACAGCTCCCGGCCCAGAGCAGACCAAGCCGCGGGGCTGGAGCTGCTCGGTGAAATGACACGGACTGCAGCGCTTCTCCCGGCAGCTCGCCCCAGCCTGGCTCCGGAGAGCCGCTCTGGAGCTCCTCGCTCAGCCACCTCCCGTCAGAGATCGCCCCCCCCTCCCCGGTTTGTCCCTGCTCCGCTTCCCGGCTCTCTTAGCGTCTCCCTGCTGTTTGATCTCCTTCCCCCCCAGCTCTGCTGCTGCCCCCTCGCCTGCCTCTTCCCCAGCCCAGCGCTCCCCGAGGTGGGTGTCCACGCCCTGCCCCATCAAAGGTAGCTCTGTCATTGAAAGCCGCGGCTGTTTCCTCTCCAGCAAGTGCTGCTTGCTCAAGGCGGGACTCAAAGGGCCTATATATGCTCCCTGGAGTTATAAATAAACGCCTATTTGTTCTGGAGGGAGGCATGTGGCCCAGGAGCTGTCTTCTCCACGGTTATTTTGGTGAAGAGACTGTGTGTGTGTGTGTGTGTGTGTGCTTGGCTGGTTCTAATACTGTCCCCTGTGGTCCACTCCTCAATCACCCCCAAAGCATTCCTGTATATAAATAGAGCCAGCTTGTCTAGCTCCCAGCAAGGGAATGATAATTGTTTAAATTACCACAAACACAAACATCCCATACATATCAGGGCAAAACTAAAATGGGAGGGCTTGAGGTCAACTTTATTAGATGTCTCCTCAGCTTTGGTGCCTCATTTATGAGGTGGGGCCCATATTCTACTTTATCGGATGAACAAGAGTAAAAGATGGTTCCTGTTAAACTGTGGCCCCCAAGCCCACAAACTGTACCATCAAATGGCATTAAACAAAAAACACAACACAACAAACAAACAAGACACACACACACACAAAACCCTGCACTCTCAAGCCTGAGCATGGCAAAAGCCTGAACCAACTCCTGAATCCAGCCAAATTTTGGTCCTTAGCCTCCATATCCTGATGCCTACATAGGTTCTATCTGCTCCCATAGCACTAAACAATTCCAGCCCCGATGCATCCCAGAGTATCAGTGACATAAAACATGGATCTGACAAGAATCCTGTGAGATCCATCCAATTGTTGGCCTTCCATTCATGAATAGAATGCAAACATAATCATTTGATGCAGTAGGAGAGATTCTAGACCATGATGTTACCATCCTCTCCTATAAAAGAATTCCAAGCATTGTGTTTCAGTGAAGTCACAATAATCCAAATCTGTCATCTGGATCTGTCTAGATACAAACAAATTTCATTCCATAACATGGGAATTTTGCAACGGGATTGGTCTATCAGATGAGAATGATCACATTCTATGTAGTTTTAGTTGATCCACTCTTGACAGAGATTTTCAAAGCAATCTAGGGAAATTAGAAACATCTTCTATTTAAATATGTTTACAATTAATGGAAGATGTGTCTAAATCCCTTAGATCTTCCATGATTTTTAATCCCATTTAAATGGAAGATGTCTGTCTAGACTACTTTGACACTCTCAGTCAGGGCCGGCTCCAGGCACCAGGCACCCAAGCTGGTGCTTGGGGCGGCACCTGGAGGGGGGCGGCGGTGCGGCGCTCCGGCCGCCGGGGAGAGCGGGGCCACAGCAGGGCTCGCCGCCCTCCCCCCGGCGCTCTGGCCACCCTCCCCCCGGCCGCCGGGCCCCAGCCGTTCTTTTTGCGGATACAGACTAACACGGCTGCTACTCTGAAACCTGTCAAGATCTAGATGAATCCAGGTGCTAGATCTGGGTTTGTGTACTGTTCATATGCAGGGACAAAAAAAAAATAAATGGTGCAGTAGTAGCATCTAGATTTCCACTAATTTCATATCATGGAATTTGGCATAGTGAACCAGACAACCATTGCATGGATCAAAATGTCACCAGATCCAGGTTTTTGTGACACTCATGCCCTGGATCAGTGGGGCTCTCCTTTTTGTAACAGTTGGGGCTTGAGTTGTTCTCTGGTTTGATTGTACAGTTTGGGGCTTGGGTCCAAAAACCAGCAAGATCCAGTTAGATCCAGCTTTCCCCTTCCCCTCTTATCTCACCGCTTCACTTACATTCTTTTCCAGAAAAGAGCATCTTCCCATCTTTAGATATAAAGGGGAAAGGAGCTTGGGGGAATGGAGAGACAAGTTGTGCGAAGTATCGTGTTTCGGAGGGTGTCAGGCACTCTCACTTGAGTGATCCCTTCCTGTGAAAAAACTCTGTCAACTGCTCACTTTGTTTTTAACCTGGGGCGTGCGTGTGGTGTGAGGGAAATTTTTAGCTGCTGAGGGGGGCAGGACATCGGGACACTCATAGAGAGGAGGACGTCAGGTCAGATGTGAAGGGACAGTGCGCTGTATTGAGACGCCGCGGTGTTCCAGCCTCTCTGGGCACTCATTCCTGGGGTTTGAATGCACGTTGGGCTGTAATTAAGAACTCTTGGAGGCGTCCTTAACTTGTGACGTGGTGCTTTTCTTTCCCTCTCGGTGAGAAAGTGGCTCCCTCTTCCCTGGATCAGGACCTCTGCCATCCAGAGTCACAAAGACATTCTGGACATATCTTACACACACGCACACACAAACTTAAGGTGAGCACCAAAAACTTGCTCTGCATTTTGTGTCCTCCGTTTCCAGCTGCTGGGGAGTTTTGAGAGCATCTTAACTTTGGAGCTCTGGAAAAGGTAAAAACAAAACAATTTTTTTCGGGGGGAAATACTTTCTTTCAAATGTATGGTATCCAGCAGGTAACGTCTCAAGGCATCAGCTATGATGGTGTACTAACGGGATTTTGAAGAGCTCTAGTTTGGCAAAAGTGGGAGAGAGGGCTTGAAACTGACTACCCTCCGTTTATCTGATTTTAAGTGCGCTGTGTTAATAGATGATATGAGAGATCATATTGCAACCGCAGATTCTGTTTGAAATATGAAAATGGCATAGTTTAGTCCACTGGCTTTCTCCTGTGAGACTATACATTTCACAGAGATTAATGTTTCCGAGAGGTAACTTCCCCATCTGTTAAAATCCTGTTAAAAAAGTTTACAGGACTTGGGAAGGGGAGGATAGTGTGAGTTGAATGAAAAGCTGAAGAGCTGTGAATGTGTTTGTCCCACCCATTGCTTTAGGAGTGATCCTATTAGATGGGAAAAGAATCTGGTATGATCCATCGTTTTTTTCAACATATTTTGCTATTGTCAACGGAAACTTGAGATAACATATCTTTTGGGCACAGGCTTCTTTATTATCTCCACTTTAACAAGAATGCTAGGTTGCTATAGTAACATGAAAGTTAAATCTCTGAGATTTATCGATGCTATAATAGCTATTTAGCCTCAAAAATGTTTATTTGCTTTTAATTGTTAAAAGTAGAAAACTCTCATTCCAAATGCTCCTCATGCCAAAATCAGAAGTGTTGGCTATGGATGGTTTAGTTGGAATGAACTTGTATAATGTGTTCAAATTAAGTTGTCATATTGCTTTACATTCCTTTATCACTGGAAAAATACACAATACAGACATTGCAATTAGGAATTTTCAGTGTGGAATGTGTACATGCATATGTATGTATGTATGACGTCATAAGGTCAAACATTGAGGAGTTTCTTGAAAGTTAGCAGTACTTGAAAAAAAAAGAATCGTATGAATTAATTTCTTAAAGTTAGAGACTAACAAATTTATTAGAGCATAAGCTTTCGTGGGCTACAAAGTGGGTTGTAGCCCACGAAAGCTTATGCTCTAATAAATTTGTTAGTCTCTAAGGTGCCACAAGTACTCCTGTTCTTTTTGCGGATACAGACTAACACGGCTGCTACTCTGAAACCTTTCTTAAAGTTGAATGCAATATTGATTCACTACAAATGAACTTTACTAAAATGTAATGAGTTTTTAATATTTATGCAGGCATGTTTCATTGAGTATAAGTATGAAGTTAGCAATAAAATTTTCATTAGTTTTGTTAATGTTAAGAGAAACTTGACATATGATATTTGAAAATGCAGATGCCGAAGAAGTGTAACTGCTGAGGGTACACCCTCTTGATAAAGCTTTCTTAGGAGCCAAGCTCCACTGAGTTTAACTGGCTAAGGTTCTCCCCCATATGTACAGCCTTTTAATGTAAAAAACTAATGTAATATTACATTTCAGATTAGTTATCCACCGAACTGACAATAATTACAAAAGGGGAAAATTGAGTTCAATGGAGAACAACTGCTTTCTTAAGTGAAATAAATAATAAAGTCAATGCAGTAATCAAGACATTGCTGGTCTGCAATGAAAATGAGCCAAAAGGCCTGTCATCCTAATAAGAGCCCTGAATATCTGAGGAGTTTGAAAGGAGAAACACCATTTTGATATGAAGTGAAGCATTTAGCTGCAGCAATTTTCTGTTTCACAGAAAAGACTGACAGTATAATTCAAAAGTATTGAAGAGATTTGCACAGTAAAGAATCATTTCATTATATCCCTGATGGGTTATTTCCTCTCACTTTCTTTTGGCAGGGTTAACACAGCTAGTGCTTGTAAGAAGGGTCTAAGGTAGTACACAGAGTTGCGCTTATACAGGAATGGTTTCTGAAAATACAGATTTGAGAGGGTCCTAACAGCATCCTTGTTGTTCGCTCTGTGTGTAATAAGGTGGGAAGGACGTTTTCCGGCAGATTGGGAAGACTCCAGAGTCTCCAGAGTTAATGTAGAAATGTGACAGGAAAAGGGTGTTGGGGTCTCTAAGCATGGGCTTTGGAGCCAAGAGAGCTGAATTCAAATCCTGCCTTGCTTTGTGACCTTTATCAATCACTTAACCTCCCTACCCCTCTATAAAATGGGGGAAATAACATTGGTCCATCCTTTATGAAGTGCTTGGAGATCTTCAGGTGAAAAGTGATTACATACAAGTGCAACATGTTATTTTTGGTATCATATATCTTAATCATATTGAGAGATATAGTAAGTAATGACACGAACTAAGCACTTTGGTCTGAATTAATATTTGTTTCTTTTTATATGCTTTTCTATTGAAGTGGTACATAAATTATCATTAGATGTTGAAATACTGTGCACTTCATATATTGCATTTTTAAACCAACAATTTGTCAATTAAAATCCCCAGAAAATTAAATGTAAATTTTTGAAAAAATCATTTTCAGATTACAAGCTTCTTCTGTTGCTTGTAAGGAATTATTAGACATTCTGGCTCCACTGTGAGTAACTGTAGAATACAGTCATGCACTTGAAAAGATAGCTTGTAATTTGTAGGTAACAAAATGTTCTTTGGGGTAAAAATGTCTGAATATATTTAGGATTTCAATCAATGGCATTTAAGGAGGATTAGAGGAAACAGCTGGCTAAACAAATATTAGGTGTAGGGTGGATGCAATGGTATAAATTAATAATGCTGTTCTTTATTTACTCTATGAATGGGAGGTTTTGTGAAGATTAGATGACTTAAACGTGGTCACTGTATGCCACCTAGTGGATGTTGCAAATTGGGCTTTCACTACAGTATCATCTTCTATTTTTTTAACTATCCACACATCTGTAACTAATCTAGTGCATTACTTAACAATAACAAGTCAACTTTATTTAGTTTTAGCATAAGAGGCACCAGCTAACTTTGTGTGTGTGTGTGAAATGCCAGTTGGTTGCAGTAAAGGTCAGTTTAATTCCAGTTTAACATAATTTGACACCAATAGAGCTTTAGCTGTTTCCAAGGGGTAATTAAATCATGCAGTAACTAATACCCACAGCTCACATATAGTCTGGCATTTACTGTATTTTAAGCATATATTAAAGAAGTGAAGCGTTTAGGGCTTTTGTGCTAATATTACAACAGGAAGGGATAAAGATCAGCAGTAAGTGTTTCAAAGGTACCTCCAGCAGTGCTTCTAAAAACTCCTTTACCAAGCAGAATGTGGTGCTAATAAAAATATTGTTTGGCACTAAATATTTCTTTCCTTGCCAGCAATAGGCAACGAAAATATTTGACCATTTCCCCAGAAAAGGGTCCTCAGCCTCTCCGCCTTCCTTTTCCTGATTCTCCCTCCATCTTGTTCCTCTCTGCTCCCCAGCCTCTCCCTAATGTTCTTTCCTTCCCTTGGACCTCTCCATCTTTTCCCTTCATTAGGGAAAGGGAATATGTTTCTTGGTCCACTGGTTTCCTCATTCAGGTACAGATCCTCAGTTGATGTAAATTATCATTGCTCCATGGAAGTTAATGGAGTGATGAGAACTTATACCAGCTGAGAATCTACCCCACAGTCTGCACTTTGGGGGTGGACTTCCAGACCATGTCATCTTCTGGCAACCTGCCTACCCATAACCTGTTCTGGAACTCAAGTGGCAACCACTGAAACCTGGCCTATGGAGCCAACTAAGAGTCTCATTTCTGGGAGGTACAGCAAAGCACCCTCAAACTGTATTGGCTCAAATGAGTATTGAGACAATTCAGTAAATATCTTGTGGGATCAGGCTCTATACACTTCAGTCACCCCTGACTTTTGTCACAATCTGAATAGTAAAGGAAATGGCAATGCTGACCCTGTATAGAATAAACTGTCCTTTTCATTCACGGAGCTTCAAAACAGGTTCTTTGTTTCTCTGTAATTAGCACAACAGAGTGGAAAACTTGAACATGATCAGTTGCTCTGAAAACAAACATTTAAAAGAAGCATTAAGAAATCACAGAACAGTAATCTGTCTGAAGCCTCCACTGGGTGCTTTGAGAAGTTTTCTCAAGAGCTGTAGTAGGCTGTTAACATGATGCCTGAGCTAATGGCTGAAGCCGGGGGAAATTTGCTCTACCATGAATCAGGCGAAGTTTACCAATTTAAGTTGGAGAAGATAAAATGGCTCATCAGAAAATGTGCTAATTGATTTGATTGCATGCTTCATAGGTGGAGTAGATAGATTTATTGAGAACAGTTGGAACCACGACTGGGAATCAAACCCGAATCGAAGTAAAGAGAATCCTTGCTAGGCCATAAAGTCTGTCCCACAGTGAAACTTTTTTACTAATGGCACATTGAGCCACCGTCATTCTTCTGCAGCAGTGCGCATCAGATGTAATGACAGAGTCTACATCATTAATCATGTGATAGAATGGAAATAAAATCATTGGAACAGAAAATTGTTACTGGATGTGTACCTCCTGCTTGGAAAAAAAATGTCATCTTGACATTTATCTAATAGCAAGAGATCATTATCTTGCAACAGCATTCCATTAACAGTATCTCTTAATTATTTTAAAGGCTTACAGGATATAAGGAACATATGGGCAGTGGAGACAGGTTAGATTAGAGATGTGTTTGGCAGAAATCCGAGTAGCAGAAAACAAATGCTTTGATGGAGAAGAGAGAAGAATTATTTAGTGATGGTTCAAATTTAGGGTTGATCGTTTTCAGCCCACATTTTTACAAGGTGATGGATGTATTAAAGAAGCCTTTCATTTTTAGTGTTATGTTATGTTACCAATATTGTATTTCTTGGTGAGTTATCAAATCAGCTAAACTGTATCAAATAAAGCCTAATTCATTATACTGAATTATAATGATATCTACAAAAGATTTATAATATATTTTCTTTACTCTCTATGGTGCCTTACACATGGTAATACCATATATATGTGTGGGCATATATATGCGTGCATATATATTACCATGTCTGGGGCACCATAAAAGATAAAGAATATATA